GAACTTCGCGGATATAACGCTGCGCGTTCATGTTACCTCTGATGAAGATTAAAGGTGACCTGGAACCATAAGCTATAGCACCCCAAACCATAACTCCAACAGTGTGATGAACATGTCTTTCAACAAAAAACTGTGGATTCCTCCTTTCACCACATCGCCTTCTAACCCTGGCACGACCATCGTGCATGCCTAAACAAAATCGAGACTCGTCACTAAAGACAATACTGTTCCATTCCTGATCCCAGAGTGACCGTTGTCTGCACCACTCAAGGCGATTACGTCGGTGTTCTCGAGTTAATGGGAGGACCCAGTGTGGCCGGTATGAAAACCGAAAACTTCGCATGCCAATAGGTCTTCCGTGTTCTGCAAACCATTCATTTGCAATGGACCTGGTAGTGGAGAAACGGTCCCTTAAGGCCAATAATCTTAGGCGGCGATCTTCACGGTCTGTTGTTCTACGGCGGCGTCCAGTGTCCCTTGCTCTTTGCGTACGGCCTTCTCGAAGCCATGCCTGACAACACCTAACCACAGTGTCTACACTTCTTTGCACTCTAACTGCAATTGCCCGAAAAGAAAGTCCAGCTTCCCGAAGTCCCACTATACGGCCCCTATCAAACTCACTAAGTTGACGAAATCGTACAGGTCTCCGTACTCTAGGCATCGTAACCGATCGTAAAGGATGTCAAGAACCAAAATCCGCCAACGTTGATTCTTTACTGCGGCTGAAATATTCATTTTTAGAGCGTTAGTGAATTAAAAAAAAGCAGTATAAAAACCGGAATGTCCAACTGATAAGGCTGAAAATTTGTTCACTTGTTATTTACAGTAAGATAAATACATTCACCAACTTTTTTTAAAATAAAACCATTTAAACTGGGTGTTCGGATTTATATATCACTTACTATATAAACGTTAGCTTGCCAATGAGAACCAATCCGATTGCGCTTGGCCATATTTATCCCAGGAAGTGCGTTATCCAAAAATAATTAGGCCAGACTTCTGATGATTTGGTAACTTCTGTTAATTCGTTAATTAGCGTCTCGCAGTCCGATCATAATCCTGCAGTAATCCGCTCGTCTTGTTAGGCTTAAACATGATCACGTTTACAATAGCACGGATGATATGGGGTAAAATAAAAGGGAAAACTACCTGAATCTTCCTAGATATTACCATTATTTAACATATTCATATGGACAACCGTACACGCTCAAACAGGAATCTGAAGAAAGAGAAACGACGGCGAGAATTAAAAACTAAGTAGTGATAGCGCAAATTTTTCGAAATTATGGAATTTTAAAAGAGTTGCATTTATCCTTAAAAAAGGTTTTTTCGGAGTATCCTTCGAGAAATAGTATTTTTTCTCATGCTTTTACAAAAAAAAAAGGAATTTCTTGCTGCCGAGCAAAGATTGAAGCACGTATTGAAGTTTGCTACTTTGGCATTATTTCACTTAAACCGAATTTATAAATTTTACTATACAATTAAACAGCTAAATGAACAAATAGAAGCTACTACTCTTAATTATAGAGGTGTATTCCAGTGGCGTAACACCAAAGAGCATTTTTCGGTTTGGTAAGAAGCTTAAACATTTATATACGAATACTAATTTTTAAGATTTTATAAAATTAACGTCCTTTATAGGTTAACCAAGTCATAAAACTTGGAAATTGGGTGTTTAATTTGTTTTTTTTTTGGTTTTACAATAAAAATATTATAAAATACAAAAATTGATACTCAATTTTACATTATTGACGTTATTTCATGCAGTAAGCTTCAAAATATACTAAGTGACATATAAATCCGAACACCCAGTTTAAATGGTTTTATTTTAATAAAAGTTGGTGAATGTATTTATCTTACTGTAAATAACAAGTGAAAAAATTTTCAGCCTTATCAGTTGAACATTCCGGTTTTTATACTGCTTTTTTTTAATTCACTAACGCTCTAAAAATGAATATTTCAGCCGCAGTAAAGAATCAACGTTGGCGGATTTTGGTTCTTGACATCCTTTACGATTGGTTACGATGCCTAGAGTACGGAGACCTGTACGATTTCGTCAACTTAGTGAGTTTGATAGGGGCCGTATAGTGGGACTTCGGGAAGCTGGACTTTCTTTTCGGGCAATTGCAGTTAGAGTGCAAAGAAGTGTAGACACTGTGGTTAGGTGTTGTCAGGTATGGCTTCGAGAAGGCCGTACGCAAAGAGCAAGAGGCACTGGACGCCGCCGTAGAACAACAGACCGTGAAGATCGCCGCCTAAGATTATTGGCCTTAAGGGACCGTTTCTCCACTACCAGGTCCATTGCAAATGAATGTTTTGCAGAACACGGAAGACCTATTGGCATGCGAAGTGTTTACCGACGAATAGAGAAGTTTTGGCTTGTTTTCATACCGGCCACACTGGGTCCTCCCTTTAACTCGAGAACACCGACGTAATCGCCTTGAGTGGTGCAGACAACGGTCACTCTGGGATCAGCAATGGAACAGTATTGTCTTTAGTGACGAGTCTCGATTTTGTTTAGGCATGCACGATGGTCGTGCCAGAGTTAGAAGGCGACGTGGTGAAAGGAGGAATCCACAGTTTTTTGTTGAAAGACATGTTCATCACAGTGTTGGAGTTATGGTTTGGGGTGCTATAACTTATGGTTCCAGGTCACCTTTAATCTTCATCAGAGGTAACATGAACGCGCAGCGTTATATCCGCGAAGTTCTAGAACCCCATCTTTTACCCTATCTTGACACCCTGGCAGATCCAACTTTCCAACAAGATAATGCCCGACCACATGTTGCAAGAGTCACAATAGACTTCTTTCAACATAATGATGTCACATTGTTACCATGGCCACCAAGATCTCCCGACTTATCCCCAATTGAGCACGTGTGGGATATGATGGGTAGGAAATTGCTCAATTTGCAACGTCCTCCTCAGACTCTAGAAGCACTTCGAGAGGAGTTGGTGGTTGCCTGGAATGAGATACCACAGGAGGACATTGACCACCACATCAGAAGCATGCCTAGGCGCGTTGGAGAATGCGTAGCACATCAGGGTGCATCCACACATTATTAAAGGTCAAAGGGCTTTAAAGCAGTGCAATCATTTTGAAATGTTTATCATTTACTTATTATGCTTCATTAAGTACTTATACAAAATTTTATTAAAATAAAACCATTTAAACTGTGTGTTCGGATTTATATGTCACTTAGTATACTTTTCATATTAATTATCTACTTATTAACGTTTATCTATTAAGCAAAAAAAAACTAAAAAATTATTTTTTCGCATAAAAATCTAATATTTAAATATTATACCTGTTGAATAATAAAAATTTGACACTTAAATAATATTAATATTTCTTTAAATTAAATTTAATTTTTTTTTTAATTTTTATTGGAATGTTTATACATAAAAATATAAAAACGACAACATTCCAAAAGGAAAGAGGATTGGCAGGGCCATTTTTCACCTCCCCCTAAAAAGTTAACTTCATGAGCGTTTTTTAACATCAACAGAATTCACAACATATATTATGCACAACACAGTATATAATACGATATAGTCTGAGTGTTAATGGAGGGTAGTGTAGCAAGCGCCATAAATTTAATTTGTGGATTCAAATCTTTGCAGCTGTAGGTAAATTTTTCCTACTCTGCTAGACTGCTACATTGAGTTCTGTAAGCCTTAAAGGCTTCAGTGCCATCTCAGACTGCGGTGAACGGTTCCCGCAGTAAGCACATGCAAAAAAGAACAGGTGCATCTAATTAATAATGAATCTCCAGAGTACGGGTCCAATTCCGGACTATAACAATCAACGCTTGAACCTCCCGTGCCAATTTTCTTTCATCCAGTCAACAACTTTTCGGCTATAGTGCCTTACACGGCACGGGCGTTCGCGTTTTTCAATTTCACCTGCCCAAAATTAATTTGCATGTTTAATTGCTGATAAGTTATGATTTATATAATTAATACCGTCACAAAGTGAAACTCGCAGGGCATAAATATTTAACGTAACGAGTGCAAACATATTTCTTGATGCATCGGTGGGCTGACTTTCTTTACACGTCTGGAACACATCAAAAAATTATGGTTTTCCGAAGAATATTATGCCAGAAATTATAAAATACAGACTAATAGCAATAGCCTTACAAATGGGACATCCGGAAGTCCTTAAAAAATTGAGCTTATACATACTTCCTACGCCTTCGTTTGACTTATTCAAAAAATGAATTAGAGACACCTTTCTGCAAAGCACTGGCTATTATTTGAATGCTCTATTGATACCGGTCTTCACAAGTTGTAAGGATATTCTACCTACCACAAAGCATCAAGAAAAAATCTGTCACCCCATCATAAACCGAAGGTTGTACCTTCAAATTGCGCGAGTGGCGCCAGATATCTGATTCATCATCGTTGGTAGTACGAAGGGATTATGGCCATTTGTTTACCGACGACCGATTGCCCACTGCATTTTTACGACCCTAGTACGTGCTTACGCATAAATTCCGATTCGGAAACATCGTAAAGCCGTACCGATAGGTCGTACCCACAGGTCGTACCTACGGATCCCATACACGGCTTATCTACAACAGTGGTACCGACCAATTCACACCTGCTCTTTTAATGTCTGACAAGCGCTGGGATTTTTTTTAGATTTCAAGTAGGCGGTTGCAGTTATACTTGAAACGCTTGTGGAAGCCATTCATTCATACGATATTAAAAATGGAACAATAAACAAAGCTTCTTCTACTGATATATCAATGATTTCAATTACTCCTTGCTCTCCTTTAAGGAGGGGCCATGCCTGTCAGTTTGATTCTGTTTATGATCTGTCTTTGATCCGAGTTTGGAGAAAAGTTGGACAGGACCTTAAGAAATAAAGTGGGACTGGGCCTGACGAAATAAAATGGGACACGCACCTACCAAACATAGTGGGATACGACATGATGAAATAAAGTGGGACACGACCTGACGAAATAAAGTGGGACGCGGCCAGACGAAATAAACTAGCACACGACCCTACCAAAAAAGTGGCACACGACCTGACGAAATAAAGTGGGACACGACCTGACGAAAAGAAATGGGACACGACCTGACGAAATAAGTTGGGACATAACCTGGCGAACTAAAGTGGGACGCGGCCAGACGACATAAACTAGCACACGACCCTACCAAAAAAGTGGCACACCACCTGACGAAATAAAGTGGGACACGCCTGATGAAATGAACTGGGACATGACCCAATGAAATGTTATGAGACAAGACCTGATGAAATAAAGTAGGACAGGACCTTAAGAAATAAAGTGGGACTGGGCCTGACGAAATAAAATGGGACACGAACCTACCAAAAATAGTGGTATACGACCTGATGAAATAAAGTGGGACACGGCCTGACGAAAAGAAATGGGACACGACTTGACGAAATAAGTTGGGACATGACCTGACGAACTAAAGTGGGACGCGGCCAGACGACATAAACTAGCACACGACCCTACCAAAAAAGTGGCACACCACCTGACGAAATAAAGTGGGACACGCCTGATGAAATGAACTGGGACATGACCCAATGAAATGTTATGAGACAAGACCTGATGAAATAAATTAGGACAGGACCTTAAGAAATAAAGTGGGACTGGGCCTGACGAAATAAAATGGGACTCGAACCAACCAAAAAAGTGGCACACCACCTGACGAAATAAAGTGGGACACGCCTGATGAAATGAACTGGGACATGACCCAATGAAATGTTATGAGACAAGACCTGATGAATTAAAGTAGGACAGGACCTTAAGAAATAAAGTGGGACTGGGCCTGACGAAATAAAATGGGACACGAACCTACCAAAAAAGGTGGCACACTACCTGACGAAATAAAGTGGGACACGCCTGATGAAATGAACTGGGACATGACCCAATGAAATGTTATGAGACAAGACCTGATGAAATAAATTAGGACAGGACCTTAAGAAATAAAGTGGGACTGGGCCTGACGAAATAAAATGGGACTCGAACCAACCAAAAAAGTGGCACACCACCTGACGAAATAAAGTGGGACACGCCTGATGAAATGAACTGGGACATGACCCAATGAAATGTTATGAGACAAGACCTGATGAAATAAAGTAGGACAGGACCTTAAGAAATAAAGTGGGACTGGGCCTGACGAAATAAAATGGGACACGAACCTACCAAAAATAGTGGGATACGACCTGATGAAATAAAGTGGGACACGACCTGACGAAAAGAAATGGGACACGACCTGACGAAATAAGTTGGGACATGACCTGGCGAACTAAAGTGGGACGCGGCCAGACGACATAAACTAGCACACGACCCTACCAAAAAAGTGGCACACCACCTGACGAAATAGTGGGACACGCCTGATGAAATGAACTGGGACATGACCCAATGAAATGTTATGAGACAAGACCTGATGAAATAAAGTAGGACAGGACCTTAAGAAATAAAGTGGGACTGGGCCTGACGATATAAAATGGGACACGAACCTACCAAAAAAGTGGCACACCACCTGACGAAATAAAGTGGGACACGCCTGATGAAATGAACTGGGACATGACCCAATGAAATGTTATGAGACATGACCTGATGAAATAAAGTAGGACAGGACCTTAAGAAATACAGTGGGACTGGGCCTGACGAAATAAAATGGGACACGAACCTACCAAAAATAGTGGTATACGACCTAATGAAATAAAGTGGGACACGACCTGACGAAAAGAAATGGGACACGACCTGACGAAATAAGTTGGGACATGACCTGGCGAACTAAAGTGGGACGCGGCCAGACGACATAAACTAGCACACGACCCTACCAAAAAAGTGGCACACCACCTGACGAAATAGTGGGACACGCCTGATGAAATGAACTGGGACATGACCCAATGAAATGTTATGAGACAAGACCTGATGAAATAAAGTAGGACAGGACCTTAAGAAATAAAGTGGGACTGGGCCTGACGATATAAAATGGGACACGAACCTACCAAAAAAGTGGCACACCACCTGACGAAATAAAGTGGGACACGCCTGATGAAATGAACTGGGACATGACCCAATGAAATGTTATGAGACATGACCTGATGAAATAAAGTAGGACAGGACCTTAAGAAATACAGTGGGACTGGGCCTGACGAAATAAAATGGGACACGAACCTACCAAAAATAGTGGTATACGACCTGATGAAATAAAGTGGGACACGGCCTGACGAAAAGAAATGGGACACGACTTGACGAAATAAGTTGGGACATGACCTGACGAACTAAAGTGGGACGCGGCCAGACGACATAAACTAGCACACGACCCTACCAAAAAAGTGGCACACCACCTGACGAAATAAAGTGGGACACGCCTGATGAAATGAACTGGGACATGACCCAATGAAATGTTATGAGACAAGACCTGATGAAATAAATTAGGACAGGACCTTAAGAAATAAAGTGGGACTGGGCCTGACGAAATAAAATGGGACTCGAACCAACCAAAAAAGTGGCACACCACCTGACGAAATAAAGTGGGACACGCCTGATGAAATGAACTGGGACATGACCCAATGAAATGTTATGAGACAAGACCTGATGAATTAAAGTAGGACAGGACCTTAAGAAATAAAGTGGGACTGGGCCTGACGAAATAAAATGGGACACGAACCTACCAAAAAAGGTGGCACACCACCTGACGAAATAAAGTGGGACACGCCTGATGAAATGAACTGGGACATGACCCAATGAAATGTTATGAGACAAGACCTGATGAAATAAAGTAGGACAGGACCTTAAGAAATAAAATGGGACTGGGCCTGACGAAATAAAATGGGACACGAACCTACCAAAAATAGTGGTATACGACCTGATGAAATAAAGTGGGACACGGCCTGACGAAAAGAAATGGGACACGACTTGACGAAATAAGTTGGGACATGACCTGACGAACTAAAGTGGGACACGTTCCTACCAAAAAAGAAGAAAGAAATGCAGTGCAATACTATCTATGACAATGAACATTTTTATCCAAGGTTTTCATGCAACAATAAATTAATTTCGATGTTATGCTTTTTCATATCCTAGAGAAAAGAAAGAAGATAACTTGTAAATTTATCTGATAACAAAATTACCTTGAAGCTCATGGCCAAGTTCATTGGCAAGAATGTGCTTGAACTTAAAATTGTTCGCAAGTTACATCTCAGGTAATAAAAATGGATGTTTCTCATTAATACTTGGAACATAACATTTCTTGCTATTTTTATTTTCGTTATCCAGAACAGGAGATTTCGTTTAAGAATACCGTCTTGACCCTTTGGAGGTCACAGTCAAGGCCACGTTTAAGGTCACCATTAGATGAATATTTTCAAACCTTACAACTATATTACGTAACGTTTTTCTTCATGAAATGTATTTTTCGAGATATTTTGTCTTTTTCCAACTCAAATACCCAGGAATATTGTGATTTCTGAGCTGTAAAAATGTATTATTGTTTAATTATTTTCCGCAGACATCATCAAGTAATGCTCCAATTGGTTACTACTGTCACAATTTGGTTGAATTATAGAATATCCTTCAAATCTTATTAAAGAAAAAACGAATTCCAGTAGCATCCTTAGTGTCATTATTTTGGGAACTTGTAGCTTTATTTTTTTATGTTCTATATTTATACGAGAGACTAACATATTATTCTGACCCGTCCTGTATGTAATATAATTAATTCTTATTGCTACAATGTTGTAATGGCAAGTAATCTGAAACTGGTGTCCTTTATGCACGGCAGATTCCAAGCCGGCCTATTATATGGAAATGTCCATTATTTCTAAATGGCAACGTTCAACAGTACTGTATACATGCAAATCTCTGTGTATGTATTGCAGTTAAATTCAATATTATTCAATATAATATAATCGCATATTCACATACCCCCATCCTCATACGACTAGTTATTATGGATGATTCTGCCGTTTCCTTGTAAGTTGTAAGCCACAACGAGAACATTGTATATATGCTTTTTACAGTGTTGCTACGTTATGCGTCGTAGCACGAGACCAAAATAAAGATGTGCGGTTAGCCTTTACGATGCTTAGGCATGGTACTTTATTCTTTCGCCCAGCAAGGCCACGAGGACTATATCGCCAGCTTTTTGAGGACAGCTTACTTGCTTAGTACTGACTGAGGGCTAAACGTATCATCGTCCGTAGTTGACTTCAGCGTCACAAGTATCAAACCAAACCAAACAAAAAGACTTGGGACAAACCCAACGAAAAAACGCATTGGGCAACGCCTTTCTTATAGATCGTACTACATAAACTTCACCGAAATGAAGTGATACACAATCTAACGAAGTGAACTACGACATGACCAGACGAAATAACTGGGACACGACCTGACGAAATAGAGGAAAGAGAGTGCGACTCGACGTGACGAAATAAAGTGGGACTTGACCTGACGAAATAAAGTGGGACAGGACCCGATGAAATGAAGTGCCACATGTCCTGACAAGGAAAGTGGGATACGACCTGACGAAATAAAATTGGACGCAACCTAACGAATAAAAGTGGGACAGAGCCTGACGAAATAAAGTGGGACACGACCCGACGAAAAAAGTGGGACAGGACCTGACGACATAAAGTAGGGCACGAACTGACGAAATAAAGTGCGACAAGACCTGACGAAATAAAGTGGGACACGACTTGACGAAACAAACTGAGACAGGCCCTGACGAGACGAAGTGCCACACGTCCTGACAAGGAAAGTGCGATACGACCTGACGAAATTAAGTGAGACACGACCCGACAAAAAAAGTGGGACTCGGTTTGACGAAATAGAGTGGGGCACAAACTGACGAAATAAAGTGGCACAGCAGCTGACAAAATAAGGTGAAACACGAACTGATGAAATAAATTGGGACAGGACCTGACGAAATAAAGTGGGACACGACCCGACGAAAAAAGTGGGACAGGACCTGACGACATAAAGTGGGGCACGAACTGACGAAATAGTGTGGGACAGGACCTGACGAAATAAAGTGGGACACGACCTGACGAAATAAAATTGGACGCAACCTGTCGAATAAAAGTGGGATAGAGCCTGACGAAATAAAATGGGACACGACCCGACGAAAAAAGTGAGGCAGGACCTGACGACATAAAGTGGGTCACGAACTGACAAAATAAAGTAGCACAGAAGCTAATGAAATAAAATGGGACATGACCTGATGAAATAAAGTGGGACAGGACCTGATGACATGAAGTGCCATACGTCCTGACAAGGAAAGTGGGATACGACCTGACAAAAAAATGGGACAGGACCTGATGAAATAAAGGAACACGTTCTGACGAAATAAAGTGGAACAGGATTTGACGAAAAAAAGTGGGACTTGGCCTGACAAAATAGAGTGGGGCACAAACTGACGAAATAAAGTGGGACAGGAGCTGACAAAATAAATTGGGACACGATCTGACGAAATAAAATTGGACGCAACCTGACGAATAAAAGTGGGACAGAGCCTGACGAAATAAAGTGGGACAGGACCTGACGAAATGAAGTGCCAATCGTCCTGACAAGTAAAGTGGGATACGACCTGATAAAAAAATGGGACAGGACCTGATGCAATAAGGTAGAACACGTCCTGACGAAATAAAATGGAACGGGGCTTGATGAAATAAAGTGAGACACGACTCGACGAAAAAAGCATGACAGGACCTGACGAAATAGAGTGGGACACGACCTGACGAAATAATGTGGGACACGTTTTGACGAAATAAAGTAGGACACGACCCGACGAAAAAAAGTTGGACACGACCTGACGAAATAAAGTGGGACACGACCTGTAGAAATAAAGTGGGACAAGACTTGACGAAATAAAGTGGGACACGACCCGACGCAAAAAGTGGGGCGCGACCTGACGAAAAAGACTGGGATAGGACATGACGAAATAAAGTGGGACATAACCACGCGAAAACAGGCCAAGCAAAACTCTACGACTATACATGAAGATACTGCAAACGGATTATCATTTCTCTTTAATCGTCTCTATATTCGCATTGGGCGATGCCTGTCTTATAGATAGTCCTACATATACGTTGTCGCTTAAACACGCGGTCGACATATTTTGGAAATCTTACGTTCATTTAGTTTTTGGAGGATTTTTAGCATGTTAAAGTCGGAAATATCCAAAAGTTTTGCAATTTTTCACTAAATAGTACAATATACATGCTAAGCACGATCAGATACGCGTGAAATAACTTCTGATTCTGCTTTTCCGACTCAAAATACGTACGATAGGTATCATTTGAAGAGCATTTATAGCATTTTAATTTTTAGTAACCATGCATATTATGTTCCAAAATGGGCGAAAAATGAGTCATTGTGGAACGTGAGCAATCCATACGTTTTTTGGCTGCTGAGACCGAATGCGGGGCTCATTCAATCCGGAAACGGCGATAACAAGCCCCTCTCCAAATTCAACAAACTGGAATAGCTGTGAGGAGTTCAACAATCCCCCTATTTTTGTTAATAAATTATGATTCTTCGTTGGTATATTATATATTGCCTATTGATAGTAATTTTACGCATTGTCTCTGTTGTTAAAAAACAAAAATTGCCCCTTATGCAACTATATCGGGATTTAATGAATTTTCAACGAATGAAATCTGTGAGGTGTCTGCTTTCGAGATACTTGCAGCCCTATCTATTGGACGGTAAATCAAAATATTATGTACAGATTTAGAAATATTTACGCGTTCATATATATATACCCAATGAAATAAAAGAATTTTGAAACATTGTTGAACTGAACATATCTGATCTGGATTCCGACATCGGCATCGGTATAATATGACAACACTGCAAAGCTATGTGAATTGAATCTTCAGCAACAAATCCGAATGGAAAGCGACGAAATAAAACGCGGCGGTGCAACAAAGTGAACAAACACTGGTATGCACACCGCCGACTGACGTTCTCGTAATGATACGTTCGCGGATGATTCGCAGTTCGATCATCCTCGGATCTGTTTAATTAGTTTTGAAAGGTGCTAATTTGAAAGGCGGGGGCAAAGGAATTGATTGCATATTTATCGAGAATGCAATGCGTGCTTTAGCGCGGGCTCCAAATCGACATCTACGCAACCGATTGTAAGCTTAATTTTCTAGCATAAATACTTTCCAAAAAGAAGAAATGATAAGGGTGGCGATGTCTGTTGTCATGTCATATAAAAAAATTGCACCTACCTCGGAGAATCTGTCAATCCCAGCAAAAAAACCGGTGCGGGATTTAGAATTTCTCTCCTGCTTAATGCTGAAATAATACAGGCGTCAGATAAATATCACAATGGTGTAATAAACATCTTTAAATAAATGGATTACGTCACATTATGTAACACAAACATGAATGGACGTGTCTTTCTTGAAATTTCATTGTTATTTCCGGGAATCCCCTGGGCCATAAATATTTACGATACCCAGAGGCTAAACAGAATCTTTACCTGATCGTGGCTACAGGAAAGTGTCTTTGGGCTATCATAAATAAAAATTCTAGGCATTAATTATTTGCTTTTGAATTACTCGACATCCGGTGGTAAGGGCCGTTAATGGAGTGTTTGTATTGTTGTCAAACAATGTTATTTTATATCACATTTCTTAACTAGGATACACTTGTACAGAGGAGTTTTTAGGATTTTGGAGGAACAGTACATGCTAGATTCTGAGGCTAGATGCCAAAGTATCAAGAAACAACATAACATTCTTGGTATCTAGATGTGTTTCTATGAAAATGATCGACTATGGTCAGTAGCAGAACATACAAATTAATTTAAAAATTTACTTTGAAAAAAGTGGGTGCCTGGATTTGCCACCGTCTCATAAAAAAACCCAGTGACCGCTTACGTTCATCTGTTTACTAGTGATTTTTCATTTCACCCCAGCAATGGCATTTGTTTAGTAGTTTCGTAAATTCCCCAGAGAGGCTTCCGTCTTGTTGTCGGGTTGTGGAACAATGGTGTGGTTTGTCCACGTTTTTGAATTGCAAAACAGCATCTACTGCATTATCCTTCGTACGGTATGGACGCCATTTTGCTGACAGTAGAATAAAGGAAGTTCGGAAGAAAGGAATGTTCAAGTCATTGCATAACATTAGAGAACTGTGACAAACTAACACGATTGCTAATCTTACGCACAAACCTCCTATCAGGAAGGGAACTTTGAAATTTGCCCTTTGTTTTCGCGGGCATAATAATCAGCAAAAAATATTAATGAAACCGAAAACGATTATAGACAGGAAATGCCTTAATCAAGGTATCTGCCGTTGCTCCGTCGGATAACAGTTCGTGGCATACAAAATCAAAAGTGATGACTGTGCTAACGGCTCGGCTTCATCCCTTTTTGTTTGGTTTCCCTCTTTTTTTCTGTTTTACCTGCCCGTTGCGGCCCGTGGACAGATGATTAGTTCATCCTTAAACCGCTAAAAGCAGATGTTGGCACGCGCTGGAATTTTTTAGCAGATACGTCAACCCTTGACGACATAATGTAGTCAAGTAGACTGACTCGGCCCTTTCCACGCATGAATCTAAATCTTTTGAAAGTTTTAGGCACATGGAAAACGCCATCAGGTTAGGTCAGAAAGGCGCCGGGAAGGTACGGCATCAACAACAGGATGCTGAAGAACCTTCCCTCCAAAGGCATTGCTGCGCTCACCAACATCGCCAATGCCACTCTGAGACTTAACCACTTCCCGTGGCGGTGGCGGGAAGCCCAGGTTATAATGCTCACCAAGCCAGGCAAAGACCGGAAGTTGCCCCAGAACTACCGGCCCATCAGCCTGGTTTCCTCGATGGGTAAAGTAGTCGAAAAGGCTATCGCCGTTCGACTAGAGAAGCAGGCAGAAGAACTGCAACTTCTCCCCCCAGAGCAATTCGGCTTCAGATCCTCCCACAACACGGAACTCCAAGCGCTACGACTGACAGAAAACATCACCAGCGGCTTCAATCTCCAGGAGGCAACCGGCCTCGTCCTGCTGGACGTGGAACGAGCCTTCGATCGAGTTTGGCACGATGGACTCATCGCCAAAATGGAAGCCGCCGGAATCGATGCGAACATGTGCCAACTGATCCAGAGCTATCAAACACAAAGATGGTTCACGGTGAAGATTGGTACATGCCACTCAACAAGACGACAGCTGGAAGCAGGCAGCCCCAGGGGTCAGCCTTAGCCCCCCTGCTCTACAACATCTATACTCACGACGTACCGAAGACAGTTAACACAATGCTGGCCCTATATGCAGACGACACTGCTATAGCCGCCAAGCATAGACGACCCGAAATCATCCGTAGCAGACTACAGGATGAACTGGACCACATCCAGGACTGGTGCGTGAAATGGAAAATCCGCATCAACGTCCAGAAGACGCAGGCAATCTTCATTCAACGAAGAAGGATTGCAAGACCTCTCGAAGCATCCATCTTCGACGAAGATATCCAGTGGAGCGACAAAGTCAAATATCTGGGGATCGTATTTGACAAGTCCCTCACCTGGAAAGCCCACATAGAAGCTGTCATCGCAAAGACCAGAGCAGCCATTACTGGGTAGACACAGCCGGATGCAGCTAGCGACCAAGCTACGGCTGATCAAGGCCATCGCCAGACCTCAGCTCGCTTACGCCTCCGCGGTGTGGGGGTACGCTGCTCCCAGCTACCGCAAGCGACTTGCTGCTCTAGAGATGAAGCTACTCCGGATCGCCACCAGTGCACCATCCTACGTAAGAAACTCAACCTTGCGTAGAGACCTGCATTGGGACACCATTCACGAGTACATGAGGAAAAAAGCGGAGAAGACCTTTCAGAAAGCTCAGGACCACCCGAACGAGCAGCTACGATTCCTCATGGACTACGATCCGGACGAGAGGCCTCGCAATCGCAGAACCAGGTACCCTAGACCAAGGTCCCAGTTGGCACCCGCTAACTGGAACCTTAACTAGGAGACTAGGAGAACCCGCGGTTGCTCCCCCCCCCCACGGCGTGGACGCAGAGGACCAGGAACCACCGGGACCAGGACCCACCGGGACCAGGACCAACCAGGACCAGGACCCGCCACGACCAGGATCCACTAGGACCAGGACCCTTCAGTACCAGGACCAGGAACAACATATTGGTAAGAGGACTTGAAACTCTTGATTTTTCGAAAACAAGAGTTTCAAGAGAACCTAGCAGACCCTCTATCGATGATCGCTTAACGACATCGATAGAATGTGCGAGGTAAAGGGAACCAACCCGGCGTTCCCAGAGACTGAAACACATGAGGAGACGTTGTAGCAGACCGCAGGTCACGCACAACACATGGCCTAACGAGACGCTGATGAGTCGGGCCACGCGGAGGTTAGGGTTTAGTGGGTATTAGGTGATCTCCTCAAGACAACCTGGAGTCCCACACACGTCGTAGCTCGGGCTATGGTATGGTGCGTAAATGCATTCCCCCCTCACGAAAAAAAAAAACAATTTCCAATAGAGTATTATTCAATGTCATTGATAAGATTCTGTACGACGACTTGATCTAAAAGCTAAGGTGTCCAGTACCGCGATTAGATTAACACTTTATCGTCACACGCGGCACATGACATCGACGATGTACGCGAAATACACGCTGCAATCTCGTTTATAATTTCATCGATGTTCGCGTCTTCAAGCTGTCAGTGTCAGAAACGTAGAGAATGTTATCCTTATCGGTAATAAGATCTCTGACCAAATGTTAATTGGACACTTTCGCGTGGTACCCTCAAAAGTGCCGACACACATATATACAAATTGATATCGGAGCGGGTTCCTTTCCTTAGGCCAACATTTGCATGCTGTTATGTGCATAACAGTGTACAGGGTGGCCGACGACCTAAACTTGATATACCGGGTGTTTCAAAGTCGAAAGTCGAATTTACGGGTAG